AACCTTATTGGCAGGAACATTGTTTCTTTTCAGACAGTTTTTATGCAAAACTGTTATTTCATTAGAAGTAATCCTGAATAACAGACTACTTTCAGGTTTGTGCTCTGATTTGAAGTAGCCACTCTGTAGAGCAGCCTGTTGTTTTTTGTTTGTTTTCTTAGTGTTCACTGATTATAACATGGGTTAAGATCTCTAATAAAAACCACAAGACCAAATACCCAGTTTAGTGCCCAGCTTATTGCAAAATTACTTTTCTTTGTTGTGGTTAATGGAAGCGTACTCTCTGGTTACAGGTTTTACCTTGGTAAGCACAGTGGTAGACAACTCACCTTACAGCACCATATGGGTTCTGCAGATTTAAACGCCACCTTCTATGGTCCCATTAAAAAGGTATGTTTCAGTTTGCAGTTTTCTAGACATACTTGTTTGTTATATTGATGCTTTCTGAGATTAATGATCTGCTAACAGCAAGTATAATTCTACATAGTGGGAAAGGGACACACACATTCTTAAATTCTACATTGTTGGGTATTTCTTTCGGTTCCTGTCTTTTTAGAGGGTGCATTAACTTTATGAATCCATGTAAAATATTTAGTTTGTTCTTTTGCTTCCACTAAATGTTTTAAATCAGCTAATGTTAACATCACAGATAAGTCATTTTAAGCATTTTAAGATTTTTAACCTATTTACATCCACTGCCCGACATTGGTACGCTTTTACGTCACATTTCTTTCCGCATCAAATATCAGGCTTGAATCAAAGTGAAACCCAGCATATTATACCTCTTTAGAATCAGGCAATCCTAAGAAAGCTGACTCAAATGTAAGTCAACCATACACAAAAAAAACCCAGTAACTAATAATTCGTCATCAACTTAGAATTCATAATTATCAGATCCTACCTTTTTCTATGTTCTGGTGATCAGAAAAAAAAACAGACTTATTTGTCTGTACCACTCCACAAAAAAGTAATATCCAGGTTTATTTCCAAAAATATAAATGTCATAATAATCCACCAAGTTTTTTTTTTTTATTTTGCCAAAAAAAGAAAAAACATAAGGAGGAAAACGTATAATAATTTTCCGTAATGATACTTGTCCCCTATTTTAGATCATCTACGTTGCGTGGACGTATTCATCTACCTATTTACTCCATACATTGAGTGTAACTTCCTTTCTGAATCATCCAAAATGCTACGGAAAATTCCTCTACGTTAAAAAAAAGCCCTTCTCACGTGTATGTGTCACGTGATTTTATTCAGCTAGCGCTCAACCATAAATTTCCCGATCTAACTTTAATTGAGTTATTTTGTTAGCCAATAAGATAAGATAAGCTTTGTGAAGATATATCAGAAGTGTAGGGCCGGGCTGAAAGTATAGGGTTTATTTATCTGCTAAAGTGTGAGAGGATAACCTAGCGGTTACTCTCAGAGTGGACTTTCAAACTTCAAAATTGGAAATATTGTTAAAAAAAAAAGTGCTTGAATGATATGATAATTTGTGTAAATCTAAACATACAAAAGCATTATTTGGTCCAAATTTGGCACAATTGTGACGAATGGACCTTTGGCATACAAAAAGGGTCATAGTTTGACAATTCTAATGACTAGAGATGTGAACACAGTTATTGTCCACAACATTACGAACAGCTGTAGTAGGTGGGACAGGTAAACTATGAATTATACAAAAGATATAGCATAATAGTTTTTTGGACACCTTTGAAGTGACACAGTTCTGGTTATGTCAAATCTACAGAGTCTTTACACATATCTTCAGAAACTAAAAGGTCAGCTTTCGAATGATATTTGGCATTTGGGATTTATATTATTTTACTGGCCAATGGCAGTTTTGCAATGTGTTTCTGCACAAGCTATAATAAGGTGAGTGTTAAGGGGTTAAATTGCTTTAAATTATTAATTGCATTTAATCTAAATAGCTATGGTTTGAAAGCAGAGTTCAGTTCCCTTTGCTTCAGACTAACATTTTGAAAAACATCGCAACAGAAGCTGTCGGACAACATGAAGTAGGCCATGGAAGTGATTTAAAAACGTTTTTTCACTTTTTGGAAAATCCATCCCTCTCCACTTTGATGTGTGATGTCATCCACTCTATATCTGTGTTTTTCCTCCAATTTTGTGGCACTTGAAGGATGATTTTGGAAAAACCGTAGCAGTTATGAATATACAGTTTAGTTTATTACGTTTCAGTTTTGAGAAAATGAAGGACGCAGCGAAGCCTCAAAAATAGGGAATTTTTATGCCCTTTTTATCCCCTCTCCCAATTCATTCAGCGCTATTGCTGACATTTGAATTGAAAAAGCTTCCTGAATGGGAAGCGAAACGTCCTCAAACTTGGAAACAAAGTCCAGTGGTTCGTTTTTTAACTTTTTTTGGAATCCCCATTCATTCCTATGGGATTTTTGGGGGGCATGTTGTTTTTTTTTGCAAATTACATAACTATCGTAACTAAAAAAACACCAATAAATTAATCATAGTCCATTTTGTCAACAGAATTATAATGGGTGCCTCCATGAGTTGCTATGGCAGTTACCAAATAAATTTAGTCCTTTTTGTTTATACTATCATGAAGGCTTATTTTTATTGCTGGTTCTGTGTATTAAAAACTGGTATTGCATCCACAGGAGGACGGCTCAGAAGTAGGAGTGGGAGGGGCCCAGGTGACTGGCTCCAACACCAGAAAACACATCCTGCAAGTTTCCACCTTTCAGATGACCATTCTCATGCTTTTTAACAACAGGGAGAAGTCCACTTTTGAGGTACACATCACTCTGCTGTCTCCTCACTTTAACATACAAACATGTGGTTCCTTTTGATATCGAATATGCAGAATTTCAGCTATAAAGGTTCCAGATAATGAACCTGTGTGGACTGTTTTCATACAACAGGAAATCCAGCAGGAGACGGATATCCCTGAGAGGGAGCTGGTGCGAGCGTTGCAGTCCCTGGCCTGTGGGAAGCCCACTCAGAGAGTTCTTACTAAAGAGCCCAAGTCCAAGGAGATTGAAAATGGCCACGTGTTTACAGTCAATGACCAGTTTACCTCTAAACTGCATCGGGTCAAAATCCAGACAGGTAAATCTCCACTTATGACTAGTAAAAATGTTATGTTTCGAGATAGTCTCACTTTTTTTCTAATTTTGTTCTATTTAGGATTTTAATACAATAAATCCATCAGAATAGAAAATAAGATTTTTCCATTCTTAAATTGAATAAACGTAAAAATGAAAATGCTGTTAATGTGTTTGTAGCTCCAGTTATTGGGAGTTCTTTGGTTTGTTGAACTAAATTAATTAAGAGAAAAAAAAGTTTAACCTGAACATCAGTCAGATGTAGAAATTAGAGCTGACTGATTAGGATAACAATGATTTTTGATATTGGATGTTAAACTATTTTAGGTATGGAGCCAGTTTTAGGGAGAAGTTGAGCTGTGTTTTATTATAAGAATTAAGGGAATTTATCACGTGTTTGCAGTATCTCCATCTACACTTTAGGATTGTCCATCTCTTTGTTTCAGATTTCAATAGAAACTTGTATTTAACATTCAGCCAAACTCAAACTTTCTACCACTGCTGGGAATAGTGATGATCTTTAAAGATGTTAATGACACCTGCTGCAATAACTCTGGTGTACGTCTTCTTCTAGTGGCTGCTAAGCAGGGAGAGTCTGACCCAGAGAGGAAAGAGACGCGACAGAAGGTTGACGATGACAGAAAGCATGAGATTGAAGCTGCCATTGTTCGCATCATGAAGTCTAGAAAAAAGATGCAGCACAACGTCTTAGTAGCAGAGGTAAGTCAGTGGCTTTGAGGATAAAGAACAATGACTATTCTTTGAGGCAAAAATAAACCATCAAAGAGATAATGATATACTGAGTGCAAATTTAAGTTAAAATATGCTTGCACTGTTTTTTGTCTTTAGTTAAACTTCTTCAGGGTAATTTTTTAATGTAAAGAGTTTAATATCTGCTGGATCTCTGGAGGGCAATCGCTGCTTTTAAATGTGAAAGAGCGTCATGATGTCACACAGGGTTTCTACACAGTCTGCAGAGTGGAGAGAGATTTTAGCTATTTTAAGTCTTTCAGTTTACAGACTATATATAACCTAGAGTTTTTCATTAATTGTTAAAATATCTGTGTTTGAAAGGATTTTGTCATTATGGATTACTTTATTTTAAACATCACTAGTGGTCTTAGAAAACACAAAGTTCATGTGGCTTTTTTTAAGACTAGCCTTAGAAAAATAAAAAAGGCAGTGCAGCGTGCACAAAGCAAAGGTAAAACCTATGAAAGAAAATCTAAATAAAGGTTTGTGGTGCTTATTTTCATAATTAACAGGACATGTCAAAAACCAAATAGGACAGGCCTTCTGTGTTTTAATGGTTTTTAAAGAGCTGAAGAAAGATGATGCTCTTGAATAATATAAATGTAATGGGATTTATTAAACAATTATTGTTTATTTAGAAGGTATTTAGCAAAAAAAAAAAAAAATGAACATAACATTAAGTTTTTAATCCATCATATTTAGGATAAATTCAATATTTCTGGCTGGATCTCAACTATGGTTGAGCTGATTTTGAATTGTCCTGGACTTTGAATAAATGAGTGAATAGAAATTTAGTACAGAAAAAATTTCAGACAATTTGAAAACTTGATAACACTAAATGAATTAACCAAATACACACAAAAAAGACTAGTTAACATCAACCAAACCAACACCAATTTCCAAACTAACTAAATTCATTTAACATAAATAGAAACAAAAGTCTCCACCAAATAAACCTGTAGGTATATACAGGCAGAGAACTGATATTGATTCATGTAAACTGTCTTAAAAGGAGTATGAAGAAGTAAAACTTATTATTCGTTCCCCTTCTCCCTCTAATAAAAAAAAAAAATCCGTAATTCACACCCTTTTACTTTGTCACTCAAGAGTCCTGCCAACCCCCAATCATCATTGCCACAGTCCCTCCACTCACACCCCACAGCGCCATTAATCTCCCCTCCTCATCACAGTACATGTTGAAAAACATCAGTTTGAGCTTCTTTTTTTCAAACAGACTCATGCTGAGACATTGCTTCAGCTCTTTTGGAGTTTATTCCAGACCTTCACACCACTCATCAAAATGCACTTTCTCTTCATGGTGGTTCGAACCCTCAAGGTTCTGAAGTTAAGGTTTTCCCTGGAGTCATAGCCCCCCACTCTATAAGAAAACAGCTTCTGAATATTTTGTGGTAGTTGTTTATTTCTAGCTTTATACATAAACTGAGCTTTTTGAAATTCTACCATATCTGGGAGTTTGAGGCGGAATGATCGTGGAATCCTGCCTTATGAACCATTCTGATGGCCCTTTTTTGTAATGTGCAAAACAGTCACAGCAAGGTTTTATTGATGTTGCCCCATATTTCTACATAGTAATTCAAGTAAGGTAATATAAGTGCGCAATCATTGAATTTTTGTTTAGATAAATATTCAAATCTTTTTGCAGATCAGCTAACAAATCTTAGAGCATTCACACAGCTTGTATAAGTAGCAAAAGTTGGCTTATTTTGTTTCACAGCTATGATATAGAAAATGTAGCTTTTGGTTCTAATTTCTGCTTTCTGTCTCCACAGGTCACACAGCAGTTGCGAGCACGATTCCTTCCTAGTCCAGTAGTCATCAAGAAACGCATTGAAGGACTCATTGAGAGGGAATATTTAGCAAGAACACCGGAGGACCGCAAAGTGTACACCTATGTAGCATAGCCAGTAAATCCACTGAAAGCTAGCATCCAGCTGAAACGGAAGGCCTTGTCTTTGTGGACTGCTTAGTGTTGGGATGAACTTTGGAAGTCCTTTCATCATTGATTCTGGGACACACTGGGAAGCTTAACGTTTCTTCCATAAACGTGAAAATAAAGAGAGCAATCAAGCAGAAGACGGCAAAGTTTTCTAGCAATATTGGATTTCTTCTGCTTAAAGAAAATGAAGTGGGGGAGGGGTATAGTTTTGTATTAAACAAAAAAAAAATATCCTGTTTCTTGTGGCCTTTGGAGAGACCTGCCTGTTTGCCAATTAGTTACAGTCAAGAATCGCAAACACTGGGCTACCTGGAGACGGAGAAAACCATTTGAAGTCACTCCCCTGTTTTAAATGTTGATGTCAATGTGTTATGTTTGTGTTTCGTGGCACAATAACGGCTGACATTCTTGGCCTTTTCCTCACAGAGGACTTTTAGTTTTAAAGAAGAAAAAATGAACTGTGTTAACAGGTACAATCCTGCTCTACAGCAGCAGTCAAATACACTCACTATGAAAGCAGATGTTTCATTGACTCTTGACTGTTTTGGGGTTTATTTGACGCTTCCATCACAGCTCAATGCCATTTTCAGTAATGTGGCCAAGCCTGCACTGGTGAGTAGAGATGAACAGTATATTAGCATTATGGCGCCATCAGACGGAATGAAACGCCTAAAAGTCAACAAACGCCTGGATACTCATGGCACATTTTTTTATTTCTTTCTTTTTATGATCAGCCAAACGATCTCTAATGGAAGGCTAGTGCTGGTGAAGGTTTCCAATATTTTATTTTTTCTTCTCAGATGCATTTTGAACAGGTGGAACCAGTCACGCACCATGCGTACAAAATGTGTACAAATTGTAAAATAATAATTGTACTCTGCGAAGGTGGATTGTACAGGGCCTTGTTTTCATCATAATAAATGTAGAATTACAAAAAACAAAAAAAACAAGTTCTGTTTGCTTTTGGAATTTCAGGAAAACTGCAGGAAATCTAATGCTACATGTTCTCAGCTGGAGTGGGTAAATATGGTAAACAAGATTTGGAGATGTATTCAAACAATTTAAGCTGTATGGGGTTCAGCTTGTGATGTTTAAACCACAAGCAATTATGGGATCCTATTTTCACAAACAGCTTAAAGTCTGTGTTTAAAACATGCCAGTAAACATGGTGTTTAAACATTTAAAGAAACCCACAGTTGCCTTATATCTTGAGCTTTTGACATCTCAGAAGATATAAGACAAAGTTTATCAAAACTAAAAGGCCAAATATGACAGGTGTTTTGATTTTTGCTTGTAGCTTCATAAATGAGCAATTCCATTTTTTTGCTCCTTGAAAAAAATGAGTGAATTTGTTCTAGTCAGTTTAATAGTAGTAAAAATATAATATTTAAACATAAGTGCTTTGTCTTTTTGTCACCATATAGTTGTTTTTCCTCATTAAAATCTGAACCATACCACAAGTTTTTTGTAAACATGAACTTGTACGTTCAGAAAAACAGCCTTCAATCCAACGCTGAATTAAAATGGGGAATAGTTAAAATGTTCAGTGCAGCTGAAGCCATTTTACATCGCTTTACTTTTCTTTTTTTCCCAGTGTGTATGAACGTGGCAGTGAACTCTTCCAGGTCTTGTATAATTTTCAGACTTAAGCCATAATTTAAGACATTGGGATATACAGTTTTCCCTTCTGATTGAAAACAAGCTTTTAGCCAGAATTGTAAAACAAACATTGGGAGCCAGCAAGACCAGAATATTTAGAACATGTCAAGCTTCTTTTTTTTGCTCTTTTAAATCTTATGGCTTTTTTTTCTATACCATGAAAGGGTACCTTTGTACTAAAGACTTAAACTTTACTTTCCAAACTTTCAATGTTGACCCAGAAGCTGAAAACGGGACTGTCAGTTGCACAAATTTCCCATCTATCCTCAGATGATGGATTAAAAAGTCCCTGTAAGTGAAGGCTGGGATACCTATTATAACACATACAAAAGGATTGTAATCAACTTCTGACTTCTTAACAACTTAATCCCTTAATGCGGAGGTCTTCAACAGGGGGTCCACAGAGGTACTGCATGGGGGTTGCAAAACGTTTGGTTGATTAGGCTGTTTTTTTTATATTCCCCCCTGCAATATTTTTCCACTAATTGAAATGTCTTTAAATACACATTAACATGAATTCAAAACACTGTAGTAAACAGATAAATGGAGGCAGAAGATGTCTTTCAGTCATCAATGCACACATTCAGCAACACACAGGAGCTCTTTCAATCTGGGCACCGTTTCATTCACAACACCTGTCCCATCAACCAGGAATCAGAATCAGAAATACTTTAATAATCTCAGGAAGAAATGACTTTTGTTACATAACTCCATCTGTAATAGAGTGACTATAGAATAGGGGTGGGTATTGCCAAAGAAGTCACGATTCGATTCGAATCACGATTCACAGGCCACGATGCGATTCTATCACGATGCGTCACGATACTTGAATTATTGCGATGTATTGCAATATTTTCTCCTCCATGTTTTGTTTTTGAATGACTCGGCACAGTATCCCACAGCCGGAAATGCTTGTGACACAAGGCAGTGTGCGTCAACGCATTTGCAGCGACATCTACAGGACTGGAAGTTGTATTACACTTGTTTTTGGCTGATGTTCGCCAACCATTCATGCAATTTTATTTATTCATTTTTTTTAATTAATAATCGATTCTTGGCATCAAGAATCGATGCAGTAGATCACGAAAATTAGAATCACGATGCATCTTCATCGCGATTATTTTGCACACCCCTACTATAGAACCAGTTTGATATAACAAAATTTCATACAATATATATAATTGTAAATGTAATACAATACATTGGTTATTGCCTGGCCACCCTTATAAAAACATTCTAGCTACGCCTCTGCATGCAGTAAGATACTTTTATTTTCTCGCATAATTATTATAGAAATGTAACACCTTGTCTAACAAAGACTAAAATAAGTGAAAACATTTTTATAGATAAATAAAAAAAAAAGTGCAGATTTCAGATTAGGATTAGGATTTGTGACCACTATCTAAAATTGCAGATTAAATCGCCCTTATTATATCTGTCAATATGCATGTCACTTTATTTTTACAGGTTTAATGCTCTTAACAAAGTCTTATATTTCCAGCGTTAAGAGCCTCCTGTCAGTTCGTCCCTGACTCATTTAAATCTGCCCTGACCGTCTGCTGTCTCCTTTGTCCCTCATGCCATCTGCTCTCTCTTATCATTATTATGGACGGATTTTTTCTCGCCTCTCCTTGTTCTCCCTTTCACCCAGAATTTACTCCATAAACAAACCGCAGCCCGTATTTCACCTCTACTCTCCCGCGTTGTAGAGTTTTACAGTAAGTAAATCACTTCGTTTTTAACATTTTAACGGTGTTGTGGTTGCCTAGTGACGTCAGTGTCCCAGTAAGATCCCAGTCTCTGTCGTTTTTCCCCCCAGCTTTGGAAGGCTGCGGAAACAAATCAGGATGTTTAACACTCCTGAGTCGGTTTATTGGGAAAAGAATCATCTAAACCACAAGAAAGGAGCTGAAATGTAGGAGAGCTGAGCTGAAGATGTGGCGGCGAGCCGGGGATGAGAACGTGGACTCCGGAGCTGACACAGCGGAGTGAGTATCTCATTTAGCTCCAGGCTAAACGTGTAGCCGAACAACTTCGCTGTTTTTAACGGACAAACGATTAATTCAGGCCGAAAAATACGCTTAACTGGTATGAAATCTAAAGGATGTAGCTAAGTATTATTTGTTAAAACTTGTTTTAGTACTTTTAGTGTTGTTTTGTCTTTTAATTTCACTTTTTTCCCCACCCAGCTCTACCGAGCTAACAACAGATAAAATGTTGTCATGGTGACCGCAGCAGCGGGCAGGTTTCCAAAGTGATGTCACAAGATGGCGACAAATCTTCATGTTTGGCTTCGATACTATTTCAATACACATGCTATTAGAAGAGAATAGGATTTATTGTCCAACAATGGAGAAATTCTGGTGTTTACAGCAGCAAAAAAATAAATAAAATAAAATGTTAGAACTGTAAATAAGTACGTCATATGTTTANAACGATTTTCTTTAGCTTTCTTCAGGATCTAACGCTGACTCATCACGCTTAGCAAGAACAGGAAGTGCAGAACCACAAAACACACGAAGAAGTCTAGCGTTATTCAAAATAAAAGCACAAATTAACCACAAGGTGTCACTGTTTGACTAATGAACAAGAAGGAGAATTTTAACATTTAGTAGCCATTTACACTCCCACCAAATCCTGTCACAATGAAAGAACAAAGTAACATATAAAGGGTAAATCAATTGAACAGGATTTCCTGACTCTACTAAATGAATATGCTTGCATAAACTATCAGGAAGTAAATGAACTGTACAAAAGTTGTTCTTCTGTTCTCATCAATTTTCCAAAAGAAGAACCAATTTCTGGATTGGCCTCTCAATAACTGAGGGTTTGGAAGAGGAATTTGACTTTCGCTCTCCAACTTGAACTTTGACTCGACGGACCAAGCCATCACTGCCTTGAACAGTTTCAACCACTCGTCCTAGTTGCCACTGATTCCTTGGAAGGTTATCATCTTTGATAATGACAATGTCCTCTTTTTTCAGGTTGCGCTGAGCTGAGTGCCATTTCTGTCTCATGGAAATGTTCAATAAATATTCTCTTTTCCAGCGACTCCAGAATTGTTCAATGAGATACTGGACTCTCCTCCACCTCTTTGTGGCATATAGGTCCTCTTTGACAAACACTCCAGGGGGGGGAAGAGCAATCTTAGATTTCATCATAATGAGATGGTTCGGTGTTATGGGCTCCAATGCTTGAGGATCGTTGATTCCATCCACTGTTAATGGGCGGCTGTTGACAATAGCCATGGCCTCATACAGCAATGTCCTGAGGGAGGCGTCATCAAGTCGGCCTGAGCACTGTGCAAAGGTAGCATTCAAAACGTTTCTGATGGTTCTGATCTGTCTTTCCCAGATACCACCTGCATGACTGGCAGAGGGGGAATTGAAAACAAATTCACACTGTTTATCAGTCAAGAAAACTTCTAGTACCTTGGTGTCACATTGTTTCAGTGCT